AATATAACACATACAGATGACCTTTTGTTGATTATTTGTCCGCTAGCAAAAACAATGATCAAATTTAATTTATAAAAATCATAAAAATTTTCCAAAATAATCTAAATTTCATCAAGAGTTCATACATATGCAGCAAATGAAGCAAACCAAAAAAAAATCATATTTTTATTCAAATCTAAATTTGATGGTGAGTGAGTGTGTTGTTATAACCAAACATAGTATACAGTCTGCGGCCCCTCGTTGTGAGCATTTCACGTTTTTTTTCGTAAGAGCGTCTGTCTATTCGCCAGCAAGATCTACACACAGACATCGCGTGAACTACACGTGATCCCAGCCCACAGCAACACTGTATATTCGGGTCTCATTGAAACTACTGAACCAGTGTCTGTCATAAACAAGATCCACTTGTTGCTATTGCCGATAAGCAGCCGGCTTTTATATTTGGCCCCCAAAATAGTTTTTGTTGTTGTATTTTATTCACATAAAATTTAGCTCGCCTTCCCATGCATGTTTCTATGTGCCATATCAAAATCATTAGTTCGAATAAATAAATAAATATGTTGTGTAATTACCGAAAACTTGTGCGGTTCACGTGAATAGATGTTTTGCTTCTGAAAATTGTTTATTCGTTTCTTATCTATTTTCGATGAGTGACTTGTGTTGGGAGGGGGTTAGTTCATTTCTTGTTTTTATTCGATCTCAAAATAGAAAGTTGTTTTTTTAGATTATTATGTGATAAACAAAGATATTAAAAAGAAATAGTGAGGGAATGAGGATATTTCTATAGGAAAATTTTTAAAAAATATAGTTATGATCAGGGGATCGGAGGACTGAGAAGAGATTGCGATTTTAGAACAAATAAGCCCCCACCATGTGAAAAAATGTATATATTGCTAAATTTGTTGCTTTCAACATCCCCTAAAATTTAGGGTCAGGGGCCATCGACAAACAAAAACCAACAATTCGGCCAAAATCAATATTTTGCGATAAATAAACAATTACATACACAAAAAATTAATTAATAAACTAATCAATCAATAAATAAATACATGCTTTCATAACCACTAAGGAAAGGTCAAAAGTCGGGCGGAGCCAAATATATGATACCCTACACCACTATGCGCATTAATTTTTATGAGCTTCATGGATTATCAAAATTTTGAGCCTTTGTGGGGGAGGTACCAGAAGGAGTGAACCGATATATCCCCTCTTCACAACGGATCTTTTGTTAGTGGAAATAATGTGATGTATGAAATATAAAAAGAACCTGACGCTTATTTCGGATTTTATAAACGTTTTGGCTATTCAAAACTTTGACCCTTTGTGGAGGAGGTGCCAGAAGGAATGGTCCGATCTCTACCTTTTTATACCCTCCACCTTGGTAAGGAGGGTATATTAACTTTGTCATTCCGTTTGTAACATCCTTAAATATTCGTCATAGACCCCATAAAGTATATATATTCAAAATCAGCATAAAATTCTAAGTCGATTTAACGATGTCCGTCTGTCTGTCTGTTGAAATCACGATACAGCCCACAGTATTTGACGTAGAGCGCCAAAATTTTGCAGAGCAATTCGCATTGTGTCTAGGATGGTTGGTATTGAAAATGAGATATATCGGTCCACGTTCTGGTACAGTCCCCATATAACGGTACCTCCCGATATTCGGTAATTTGATGATTCTTGCCACATTTTTTCACGGATTTGTCGAAAAATTGGTATTTGTGGGTCATAATGGATTCCACCTCCGGTGGCGAAACATTGCATGTATGGGTCCACGTTTTGGTATAGCCCCCGATATTCGGTATTTTGATGGTTTTTGCCACATTTTTTCACTGATTTGACTAAAAATTTGTATTTGTGGATTATAATGGGTCCTAGTTCGTGTGGCGAAACATTGTATTTATAGGTCCACGTTTTGGTGTAGCCCCCATATAACGGTACCTCCCGATATTCGGTATTTTGATGATTTATGCCACATTTTTTCACGGATATGTTTGAAAATTGGTATTTGTAGGCCACACGGGTCCCTGTGCGTGTGGCAAAACATTGCATGTATAGGTCCACGTTTTGGTATAGTCCTCATATAAAGGTACCTCCCGATATTCGGTAATTTGATGATTATTGCCACATTTTTTCACGGATTTGTCGAAAAATTGGTATTTGTGGGTCATAATGGATTCCACCTCCGGTGGCGAAACATTGCATGTATGGGTCCACGTTTTGGTATAGCCCCCGATATTCGGCATTTTAATGGTTTTTGCCACATTTCTTCTAATATTTCTTTTACCCTAATGTGGGGGGTATTAAAAGTTTGGCCCGGCCGAACATAATGTTTTTTTTTACTTGTTTTTAACAGATACTGTGTTGATAGAAATATGCAGATGTGCCAAGTCTGGAATGGAATCGGATGTAAACGTTGACCCTTTGTGGGGAAGGTATCAGAAAGACTGAACCGATATATCCTATCTTCACAGCAGATCTTGAGTTAGCAGAAATAATGGGATGTGTAAAATATGAAGAGAACCGGAGGATTATTTTGGATTTATAATCGTTTTGGTTATTTAAAACTTAGACCCTTTGTGGTCGAATTAACAGATGGAATAGTCCGATCTCTACCATCTTTATACCAAATCTTGTGTTAATAGAAGTATTGAATCTGTCTATGAATCCGTCTATATGTCTGAATGGCAGCGGATATTAATTTCTCGTTTAGTGAGTTTCATGGATATTCAAAATTTTGACCCTGTGTGGTACCAGAATGAGTGGACCGATATTTATATTTCATTTTCAGACCACAAAATGGGTTAATTAAAATATTGTGATGTGTGTAACTTAAAGACAATCGGACACCTACATCATATTTTATATGAGTTATAATTACCCAAAATTTTGAGCCCTTGTGAGTGAGGTACTTGATGGAGTGGGCCGATATTGTCCATTTTCTCACCTGACGTAGCACTGATGCAAATATTAGGATTTGCTAAGTTAGAGGAAAATCGGAGTATCCATTCCCTTTCTGCGCAGTAAAATGTGTTTTTATACCCTACAACACTATGTGTTGGGGGTATTATAAGTTTGATTGGGCCAAAAATTATGTAACACCACGAAATATTGGTTTCCCATATAGGAAAGTATATATGGATCTTCCTAGCTCGCCGAGCTGAGTCGATCTAGCTATGTATGTCCGTCCGTCCGTCTGTCCGTCTGTCCGTCTGTCCATGTTAATTTGTAATCACTCTACAGGTCGCAATTATGGCCCGATCCTTACGAAATTTTGCACGAAGGTGGGGTTTGGGTCAGAATAGAACCCTATTTCTTTTGGAGATGATCGCCAAATGATTAGGGGTTGAAATGGACCAAATACTGAAAAAATGTCGGATTTTGCAGTAGCTATACAGGTCGCAATTATAGACCAATCGAAGCGGAATTTCGCATGTAGCTAGAGTTTAGGGCGGGGAAGAAGCCTACCAATTTGGGTGGTCATCGGATAATATTTAGCGGGTAAAATAGACCATATCTTTTGTGTTGAAAAAATTCAAAAATTTTCATTAAACCGCGAATATTTTAAATCCCGGCGAAATCACAAAGCCATGACAAGGTTACTTCTGACCTTTACATTGATGTTAACATCCAACAAATCGGATATATAGCGAAATATGTGCGATATATATGTCTATCAAAGAAGATATGCTTGAAAGATCTCTTATATGTCGAGAACGGCTGAACTGATTTCGACAGTTCTCATCAATTCAGAATGGCCTCTTGGCAGGAAAGATAAAACGTCTAAAAAAATCGCATAAAAATATCTCTATGAAGATGAAAATATTGATTTTTTAAAATTTTCTCAATTTTTTCAATTTAGTCATATTTTTGGCATATTTTCATTTTGAATAAAACATTTGGTAATATTTCTACAGCTAACAAAACTAAGTAGTTAGGATATCAGGATATCATATACAGATCGCATTTATGGCCCGATCCTTACGAAAATTTGCATGGGGATAATATGAGGGTCAGAATAGAAGCCTACTCTTTTTGGAGATGATCGCCATATATTTAGGGTTTGAAATGGACCAAAAAACTGCAAAATTGTCAGCAGGTCGTAATTATGGGGGGTTACCGGACATTGCAAAAGCCAAGCAGTTTTGGATGGCCATCCAAAAATATTCAATGTGTGAAGGAGTTTGCCAACTTTTATAGTCAAAATTCGAAAATGTCCATTCCAGTGACTTTTTGGAGAATTCACAAATACAGGAAAGACGCACTTCTGACTACTTCGTTAACGCTGATTTCGTTGAATGTATGTCTGTTTCTCATATAGATGCGTTTTAGTCAAAAACCAATAACAAATGTTAATCTTTTGCCACTTCTGAGAGATTATAGGTCTTTGGGAAATATTGGTTCTAGATCTAGGAAGACCATTTACGTGCAACATCTACCAATAAATTGGAAATGAGCAAATTAGTTTAAGTTGCTATTATTCGAAAATTAGAGAACGGAACCTGATGGTTTTTTTTATTTGTCACAATATCTTGTGGAATTCTTTCGAGTATCTCGCCTATATAAACTGTATCGTTTATTTTAGTGTTGTAGGGTATTCAACGGTCGGCCCCGCTCGACTGTAGCCTTTGCTTACTTGTTTTAGAAATTAAAATGGTTTTAACAGTTTTTTTTTAAGAATCTCTGCACATTTTCCAGTGCGGTGTCCGTGAGTCTCTCTCTCTGAAATTACCGGGAAATTCGAAATCTTTGGAAATTTTTTGAAATACCAAAATTTTTTTCAGCATTACCCAAAAAGTTGTAGAATTTTCGTAAAAATTCCTGATTAAAAACTTCGAAATTATTAAGAATTTCGATATCTTTTCTAATGTCCCTTTAGAGATTTTTTAGAAATTTTCAGAAAATGAGAATTTTCCAATACTTTTTTTTCGAATTCCAGTCGAATTTTAAATAGGAGGATAATTTTCTGTAAAAAAATAATAATAAAATAGGCAATACGGCTCTGAAGTTTTATTTAATATTGCAAAATATTTTATTAAATAAAAAACCACACTAAAAATAAAACTAAACATATCGCACATATATTTTTACTCCGTGCCCAGACACAAAGTACCCGCCTGGGCCAGATTCAATGCTTCTGTCAGTAAACGGCCAAAATCGGCATGGACCATTGTGAAATTACGCACAGCTCGTTCCTGAATAAATTGGCTGGCATTACAGAGATGAGCGGCAATATTGTTGACCAAACGTTTGCGTGAACATTCATCCAGGACATAAACCCAAAAATCGGTAATTTGACTATAATTATCTTCTGTGTCACAACTGGAGAAACGATAAACATCACCAGCCACTGGACAGCATGTTTGCAATGCCCGGACACGATCACACGGTTGGGGGCCAGCAAAAGAATTTGGAAAATAATTGGGAGCTTCATTCATGTTACTGGACACCGTCATGGCACCATCACGCTCATAGCTCTTGACACTGACACGGTAGGGGCAGTTTACGGGGATTTGATTGTAATTCGTGCCCAGACGATAGGTTTGGGCATCACCATAGGCAACGAGTCGACCTTGTAGTACTTTATCAGGGGAAGGTTCAATGCCTGGCACTATGTTAGCCGGACTAAATGCCAGCTGTTCAATTTCGGCAAAATAATTTACGGGATTCCGATCTAAAATGATCCTACCCACCTCTATCAGAGGATAATCATTGAAGTTCCATATTTTTGTACAATCAAAGGGATTGTATTTAAATTTCTTGGCCTGATCGAAGGTCATTAGTTGCAGATATAAAGTCCAACTGGGATAGTTGCCATTCTTAATGGAATTGAAAAGATCTCGGCCAGCATAGTCTGGATCGGTGGCCAAAAGTTCGACAGCTCTTGCTGCTTCAAGATTCTGTATACCCTGATCGGTGCGAAAATGAAATTTACAATAAATTGGTTCTCCCTTGGCATTGAGCAGTTTATAGGCATGTACCGCATAGCCATGCATGTGACGATAACCATCCGGACATCCTCGATCGCTGAACATCAAACACACCTGATGCAAGCTCTCCGGACGTAAGGTTATAAAATCCCAAAACATGTCGGCATCACGTAAATTCGTTTGGGGGTTACGTTTCTGGGAGTGTATCAAACTTGGAAACAGCATAGGGTCACGTATGAAAAACACGGGCAGATTCTGGCCTACAATATCCCAAATGCCCTCTTCAGTATAGAACTTGACCGCAAAGCCTCGAACATCTCTCATGGTATCCGCCGAGCCCCGCTCACAACTATAACCGCCAGAGAAACGACATGCAATTGGCGTACGTTTCTTGATTTTCTCAAAAATTGTTGCTGCACAATAGCGACTTATGTCGTGGGTTACTTCGAAATATCCAAATGCCCCTGCCCCCTTTGTGAAGACACCACGTTCTGGAATGCGTTCACGATTGAAATGTTGCAACATTCTTAGATATTGATGATCCTGCAGAAGCAAAGGTCCTTGCGGTCCAACCGATAACATGGCATCGGCCGTTCCAATTGGTATACCCGCCGTTGTGGTAATCACCCCGGCTGGGGATTTGCAATTGTTCTTAAAATCAATTAATTGATTGGCGGCACTATCACGAGACATCTTGGCGAGTTGGGATTCCGAATTGTTTTTTTAAAAATAATTTCTATTTTTTGTTATTTATTTTTTAATTTGTCACAGGGGTATTGATTTTTTTCTCTAAAAAATATAGGGTTTTCAAAAGGGGAAGGTGCTCTATTAAGGATCAAGTTTGAAATATGGGTTTTTGGATATTCGTGCTAAAGGGATACGAAAAGTACTTAAATGTACTAAAAATTAAATCCTTAGTATTGGACAAACGAAATGAGCTAGAATTCTGAATGGAATGAGGATCACTGATGGAGTGCCTGATAGATATACCAAAGGGCTTTTGGATATTCAAACTTAAAGGTTACGAAAATGGTACTTAACTTCTAATGTGATACCATTTGGTATTATTTGAACGGATGGAGCTAAAAATTCGATATTTGGTAGGCGAATTAAGATTTTGGAAATGTAAGAACACATTTGGACGAACTGTACTATGTGGTACTTAATTTCGAACACTTAGGATTAGAGTAAACAGATAAAGCTAGAATTTTGATTTATTTTTATTGGGGTCCCTGATGGTGGTAGATTTGTGATGAAGAGGTGGTTTTGGGAAGTGCACAAAAAGTACTAAATAGTACTATATTTGGTACAACAGATATTTGGACAACAGATAGTGCTTGAAATATGAAATTTATTATAAGGGTCGCTGTTCACGTTTAACATGGACATATGGAAGTGGTTTCGAAAATGTGTACTATAATTGTACGAAAAGTATTAAATGGTACTAAATTTGGTATTTGGTGAAGGGATAGAGGCAAAATTCGGAAATTTGATATTAAGATTACGGATGGTATCTGAGATTGAGATATAGAGGTGGTTTCGGAAATGTGTACTATAATTGTAGGAAAAGTACTGAATGGTACAACATTTAATATCGAAGGAAGGGACAGGGCTGGAATCTTGAAATTTGATATTGAGGTCTCTGTTGTTATCTGGGATTGAGATATGGAGGTGGCTTTGGAAATGTGACCTTTATTAGTTACTCGTGCTAAATTTGGTATTGTGTGAACTAATAGATATCAAATTCTGAAATTTGATATTTAAATTAATGATGATATCGGTGTTTGAAATTTGGTGGTAATTGGAAATGCGTTCTATATTTGTACGAAATGTACCATAATGGTACTAAATTTAGTATTGGAAGAAGAAATAGAACTGAAATCCTAAAATATAATATAAATATGTCACTGTTATTACCTGTGGTTAAGATATGGAGGTGGTTTCCGAAATGTGTACCATAATTGTACGAATAGTACAAAGTGGACTATATTGGGAAATCAACGTACAGGCCACATTATTTGATAAAAAGCGTCAAAATTTAGCAGAAAAATTTGTATTGTGTCTAGGATGGTTGGTATTGCAAATGGAATATATCGGTCCACGTTTTGGTATAGCCACCATATAACGGTACCTCCCAATGTTCGGTATTTTCATGATTTTTGCCACATTTTTTTAAGAATTTGTCTGAAAATAGGTACTTATAGGTCATAATGGGTCTCAGTTTGTGTGGCGAAACATTGCATGTATAGGTCCACGTTTTGGTATAGCCCCCATATAACTGTACCTCCCGATTTCGGTATTTTCATGATTTTTGCCACATTATTTTTAAGGATTTGTCTAAAAATTGGTATTTATAGGTCACAATGGGTCCACGTTCATGTGGCGAAACATTGTATGTATAGGTCCACGTTTTGGTATAGCCACCAGATATTCGGTATTTTGATAATCTTTGCTACATTTTTTCATGTATTTGTCTAAAAATTGGAATTTGTTGGTCATAATAGGTTCTAGCTCCATTGGCGAAACATTGTATGTATAGGTCCACGTTTTTATATATCCCTATATAACGGTACCTCCCGATAGTCAGTATTTTGATGATTTTTGGCACATTTTCCCACGAATATGTCTAAAAATTGGTATTTGTGGGTCATAATTGGTTATAATGTTTCCATTACCCTATGGTGAAGGGTATTAAAAGTTCGGCCTGGCAGAACTTTATGTTTATACCCTACACCACAAGGTGGTCAGGGTATTATGTCTTTGTGCATTTGTTTGTAACATGGAGAAGGAAGCGAGATAGACCCATAGTTACTTTTGAGGATCTCCATAGAATCGCTTTCTGAGTTGATTTATGCATGTCAGTCCGTCCGTCTGTCCATGTATTCTTGTGAACAAAATGCAGGTCGCATTTATTATCCGATCGAGATGAAATTTTGCAAACAACATTTGTTTGGCCCAAGGACGAACCCTATTGAAATTGGAGATAATCGGTCAAAATTTAGATATAGCTCCCATATATATCTTCGTCCGATTTGCCTTTTATTGTGCACCTAACGTGTAATATCAGCCCGAAAATAAGTATGCCAAATTTGATCGAAATCGGTTCAGATATAGCCATAGCTCCCATATGAATTGTTCATCCGATTTGTTATTTTTGTCTTCCGCAGCCGTAATATACACTCTGTAACAATATTTGTGGAAATATATCAAAGTCAGCTCAGAAATACCTTCGCCAAATTTTATTGAGATCGATTCAGATTTTGATATAGCTCCCATACATAACTTCGTCCGATTCACCTTTTATTGTGCACCAAATGCTTAATATTTGCCCAAATTGAATGGAATTTGGCACTTACGACCGAATTGGGTCTAGAAACTAGTATGTTAAATTTGGTGAAGATCAGTTCAGATATAGCTATAGCTCCCATATATATTGTTCATCCGATTTGTTACCCACAGCCGTAATATGCACTCCGTAACAACGATATTCAGGGAAATATATCAAATACAGCTCAGAAATATCTTTGCTAAATTTTAGTGAAATAGATTCAGATTTGGATATAGCTCCCATATATATCTTTATCTGATTTCAAATTAATTTTGGACCAAATGGGCAATACAAGTCCGAATTTAAAAGATACAAATGCTTCGGCATATTTAGTCCTTTGAACTTTTAATTATAATTATAATCATAGCGTGTATGATTGATCTCTCCCATAAAAACTTGTAATTGTTATGTGTAGCTCTACTAAATTAGCAAAGTGGTGTAGGGTATCATAAAGTCGGCACCGCCCGCCTTTTGGACTTTCTATACTGGTTTAATTCTGTGGTACTAGTTTTTATTGTTCTACTTACAGATTTCATGCAATCCACGTTGCGCCTACACGTGATACTTACAGACGCACAAGTTGCATCGTTTTTTTATCAATGTGTGTCATGTACTAAATTATTAACTAAACCGTTTCAAATCATGGCAAATTATAATCGCAGTTCTAATTACAATGTAAACAAAACAAACACATGATGGAGATATGAATTTGTTGCTTTATTGCTGTAAATATGGCAGTGTCTCTTTGGAGGAATACCCATGGTTTTTTTTGGAAAAGTTTTTATTATCATCATCATTATGATGTCTAATACAGACAGTACTGCCTAAACAAAGTTCATAAGTATTTCATGAGAATGATTCCCAAGCTGCAACGACCTAAACTAATCGTATTTCCCCAAATAAAAATTGTTGTGTGGACTGCGTTGTTGTTTTAAATAAACTCTTTTTATTGGCCAACTTCCCACATTTTAATGCTTTTTTTTGTCGGTGAATCGGACGCAACGAGTGCAGTGTGCTGCCGTCCAAATGAAAATGACTCCACAGAAATGTGTTGGCATTTGCCTTATCAAACGTTGTACATTTCCACACGAGACATGAGACGTTCACATGTTTCATTTGACAAAGAAACGTCTGATAAGCAACAAGTGGACCGGCCTTTTAAATCTAAACGACCGACAACCATATGTTTTTATTTTCTACACCCATACAAAACAAACGCTAATACTTTTGAATGATTGTAAACAGAACAAAGTATAAATGTAGTACAGCCGCACGCGTTTCTAAGAACGACTAATAGTCTGTAGTCATTGTTCCAATTGTGATATTGTGGGTCAGCGTTATGTTGGATGGTACAGCTTTTCTCTTCTTGACCCATATTTGTTTATATATATAGTTTTACATACATGATCACTGCATTAGAAGGGAAGATCTACTCCAACAGGGATCTAATAAAAAAAAAAAAGAAATATTGCCTAAAGTATTTTATGCATTGGATACCTCGTAAAGATTTTCCATTCCATCCTGAACATCTCTTCACTAAAAGAATTGTATTAGGACTTTACAAAGAAAGACTTCTAAGGACTTTTATGTAAAGAGTATTCAGGGGTTCAGTAGGGAAATTACTCAGGATTAAAATAATTTTTAACTAATTTTTAAATAAATTCAATCGATCCATTTAGTGATTTTAGGAAATTTTCACCAGTTCTGATCTCAGGTACGAAAACGTGGACCTAGGTTCACGAAAGTGGACTCTTTTTGAAAATCTTGAGTTCTGTTTGGAAATTCGGACCCCCATGGGTCGTTTTCGTTTCACGCAGCCCCGAAACTGGATCCTTTTTGAGAATTTCTCCTATTTCCTAGGTGACCTATGACCCTTCTTCCATACTTTTTATAAATGTTGACAAGTTTTCGGGACAGGTGAAAAAAAAAACGCGGATTTATGGCTAATTTTCGTTCCACTAGTTCTTACCTCCCCCGGAATTGGATACAATTTGAAACTTTTGATAATTTCCGGAGAAATTTCGAAAACCTCGATCAAGGACTCTGAATTGGACTCTTTTTGAAAATTTTGGGCTCTGTTTGTAAAAATGGAGCACTATGGGTTGTTTACGTCCCACGTGGCCCCGAAACTGGATAATTTTTTCAGAATTTCGCCTAGTTCCTACGTTGCCGCGTTTTCGCTCCTTTTTGTAAATATTGATCGATTTATTGATCTACTTTTTCCTACCTCTCCCGGTGCTGGATCCAATGGCTACCACCTCTTTGAAAATGTTGACCGGAATTGGACCCTGTTGGGAAATTTTGACTAGTATGAAAACGTGGACCCAGGTGAAAAATGGTCTCAAAATTGGGCTCTTTTTTAAAATTTTGGGCTCTGTTTGGAAAATGGATACCCAATGCCACTTTTTCGGTCCCTTTTGTGAGCGTTGTCCA